ACGATCAAGGAAGCAAAAACTGTTTTTGCACACCTGGCCGAGCTTGTATCGGTCATTAAGAGAGCTCCGGCTTTCTTTTAACACAGCAAATAGGACAAAATGCACCTACTCATAAGGACAAAACTACCATAAATAAAGATCTTAATGGATAGGTACACCACACAAGGAGATCCCATAAAATTAGCATTCTGGAATGCTCATGCCATTCAGAACAAGTTGACGGAATTTTTAAACTTCCTTAACAATCACAATATTGATATTGCCCTTGTAACAGAGACTTTTGCCACGCCATGCGTGCGTATAAATTTGCCTAATTACCGCACATATAGGTGCGATCGTTTGAGTCACCGTGGTGGGGGGGGCCGCAATTTATGTGCGAAACTCGCTACAGTCCTGTTTGATTAGCCAAGATAGAAACGACGGACATGAGATGGTCGCAGTCTCAGTGTACTTACCGCAATATGGTAATTTGAATTTCATTTCATTTTATAATCCGCCCAGGAAACTACTGACGGAAAGTGTTCTTTCCAAACTTCTCTCTGACACTAATAAGTATATCCTAACGGGTGATCTCAACGCAAAGCACTCCGAGTGGGGGTGCCGTAAAACTAACCAAAATGGTAAGGTCCTCTATGAATTTATAAATAATCACCCAGTTGCCTTGCATGTTACTGAGGAGTATACGTACAGACCACAGAACCCAAGAAATGCAGACCTTCTTGATATTCTTCTGACAAATACTTCAATCCCTATTTATACTGAAGTAAAGCACGAATTGAGCTCTGACCATATACCGGTCATTGCTTACCTAGGCACTACTAAAGAGGCAGAAAATGAAATGATCCGCACGACTGACTGGAATAAGTTCCAGAAGTTTCTCAGTCAGAATCCGCCCATCTTTGATACTCTGAACTCGCGGAAAGATATAGATGATGCAGTTGATACCCTCACTGATTCAATCAATAATGCTATTGAAAATGCATCTAGACACGTGAGAAGAAATAATAACGCTGGCATTCTGCCACAGGAAATTAGAGAGATGATTAAGGACCGGAATAGGATGAGGAAAGCGTGGCACCTTACATGGAGCCCTCACGTTAAAAGAGATATGAACAAATTAAATAAATTAATTAAAAAGAAAATAGATGAGCATAAGAGAGATGTATGGGAGGAAAAAAAATTCAGAATCTTAGTCCGAATGATGGCAGTCTCTGGACGTTCATGCGTAACTTGAAAAGGCAGCGTACATGCAATAAGCCGATTTATACTGAAAACTCTGTTGCTCTCAATAATAAAGACAAATCGACGGTCCTTGCGGACCATTTAGAAGAGCAGTTCAGACCTAACATGACGCCCATGGACATTAATTTTGTCAATGAGGCATGCTACTTTGTTAGGGATTGGCTTAATGCCCACACTGCTAAGAGGTACATGGCCACTGCTACCCCCAGTGAGATCAAAGAAATCACAAAGAAGCTTAAAGTCAAAAAGGCCCCTGGCATAGACGGTATTAATAATCACGCACTTAGAAATCTGCCCTGCAATGTTGTGACAAAATTCACGAGTATTATCAATGCGTGTCTTAGTCAATGCTATTTTCCCACAAAATGGAAAATCGCAAAAGTTATTTTATTGCCTAAGCCCGGCAAGGATAACACTAAGCCAGATGGGTACAGGCCCATTAGCTTGCTTCCGGGACTAGGAAAGGTCTTTGAGAGATTAATCTACAGCAGATTGAAAAACTATATTGAATTACTGCCTCCGGAACAATTTGGTTTCCGGAGAAAGCTTTCAACAACGAAGCAGCTGGTTCGGCTCGTCGAGTTTTGTGGGGATGCGCTTCACAAGAAACAAAATGTCGCCTTACTCATGCTAGACGTGGCGAAGGCATTCGACCGCGTCTGGCATGAGGGGCTTATTTATAAACTTATAAATCTCCCTATGGATAGAGAGCTGATTCAGCTAATTATGTCTTTCATCACTAATAGGAAATTCACTGTGGCTATTGGAAAGGACATCTCCAGTTTACGCACCATGAATGCAGGCGTCCCACAGGGGTCCATTTTAGGGCCCGTCCTGTATTTATTTTATGTTCATGACTTCCCTAGGGCTCACATTGGCAGAAATTACTTTCTTGGGTGCTATGCGGACGATACGGCATTAGCCGTAAAGTCCGCAAACGCACACCATGCAATCAAGAAATTACAGGAGCTTCTACCAGTGGTAGAAAAGTGGTGTAAGACTTGGAGAATTGCTATTAATGCCAGCAAGTCGCAATTATTATTGATAAGGAGGAAAAATACACAGTTGACTATTAACAGTAAGCTCTTCTTATTCTCTGAAGAGATTCCTAGAGTTAGTAAGGCGAAATATTTAGGAGTAATGCTAAATGAAAGATTAAAATGGGGAGATCATATAACAGAGGTCAGAAGAAAAATTTTCACTGTTGTAAATAGTCTCATCCCTATATTGGGTAATTATTCTAGCTTAGACCTCAGGAAAAAGAGGCTAGTTTATATCACGGCAATTAGGCCATTGATGACTTATGCGTCGCCGGCCTGGTGCACGGCTACCAAGGAGGATATAAAAAGACTTCAAATCATGCAAAACAAAGTCTTAAGGCTTATCACCCATGCTCACTTTTTTGTGAGCAATGCTACACTGCACTGTGACTTAAAACTGGACACTCTAGAAGAGCACCTGAATAAGATCAACAGGAAATTCTTCACGAAAGCTCTGAACTGTGACCATATGAGAAATTTTGATATCTTTACCTACGAAATATTGAATGAGGACGCCAAACTGCGCCCACTTGCGGCCCACCTTATCAGGGACCCGAACTTTCCCACCTAGTGCCCACCTGTAAATAATGTACCCAATGTGTTTATTAGCATTCTTAATTTTGTATCTTACTCATTTATTGTACTGTGTATTTCTTAAATTCTCTAGTTTTATTCACATTCTACACTCATTTTATGACTCCCACTTAGTCACGCCTTTACCGGGCCGGTTACTTGCTTGTGAGCTCTTGCGTTGCTGGTCTTCCTATTCTTTATCCGTCTTTCTCCTCCTTACTGCGGACATTATGTGAAGATAGTTCTATGTTATTGTGCCCATCCGGCATAAATTTGATTGAACCAGATAAACTACTGATCTCAGTGGTATTCTGGCTATAAGTTATCAGTCAGTCAATCAAACTACTTTATTCCATTCCTTTCTCTAGCCAGAGCTCTACGCCGCTTATGCTGTCCAATCCAAAATGCTTACGTCATACTTTTAAAACGGTGTATATGGAAATTATTGTATGATTAAAAAGTATCTTGGTTACAAAAGCATCATTTTTGATAAGCTCTAAAATAAAAAACTGGTGATTTGCGGGAATCCCGTCTCGTCTTGCCATTTTGCCATCCCGACTACGCATCAAAATTATTACATGTATATGTGTCTCATTTACACAGTTTTGAGGCTTTTCTGTTCTGTTTCTGAGTGAGGATAATCAGAAAGTACCAGTCATTTTTATAAAAGCAAAAGCACATAGGTGGATCCAAAAACAAAAAAAAAAAAAAAAAAAAAAAAAAAAAAAAAAAAAAAAAGTTACAAGCATCAGCCATTTGAAAAGTAGTTATTATGGTGGGAATACTTTATCCACAGCCTGTAGACAGCTAGTAGTATTTATCTAGCAACGTTTGTGAGGGTGCGTACAGTAAATTCGCAGGCGCGTCAGAGCAAATAAAATGGCAAGACGTTTTGAAAAGTGGTCTCGCTTGGAGTACGAGCCGTGATTGGTTATCCTTACAGAGTATCTCGAGCGCAGCCATAACGCTCCTGTCGAGCGTTATTGTGCCATTTTGACAAGGTTACGTGAAGGCATCCGACGCAGGTGTTTTAGCGTGTTGAGTGCTTGTGTCATCCTCCTGCATGACAATGCTTGCTCGTCCCCATACTGTTAGGCAAACTCAAGAACTGCTGCAAAGGTTTAAGTGGGAAGTCTGGAGTCACCCTCCCATATAGCCGAGATTTAGCACCCAGTGACTAATTCCTTTTTCCGAAATTGAGGGAACATTTATCTGAAATGAGACCGTCTTCAGACAGTGTTATGAAATCAGCCATCGAGAACTGGCTCGATTCACAGATGGGATTTCTACCAAGCCGGGTTAAACAAGTCGGTCCTACGTTCAGATAAATGCTTAACAGATTTGCTGATTACATGGAAACATGACAGGCAAGTAAGACTCTTAATTACCTTCTGTATTTTTGTCTATTGTTAATAAATAATATTTTATTACCATTATAACCATTTTATATGAACCTCGTATATGAAACCGAAAGATCTTGTTCATCATCTATTCTCAATAATATTAATTTTTACAGAATAAAATTTTATCAAAAATTAAAATCAGTAGTACTTCGAGATGTTTAAAAAATAGTAATTGGAATAAGTCATTCTGCATAGAAAAGATAAATTTTTTTTTAAAAAAGGTACCATTTTTTTTCTCAATATGACATACTAATTAATGTATCTAGAAGTTATTGCAGACAATTCGAAATCTATGCATATCTATCTAGTTGTAAAATTTTGAATAATAGCGATACTTTTGTAATGCCTTTTGATTGATTTTTAAGATTAGCTATGATAGGTGCTACCTGATTGAGACAGCCTTGGCCGGAAATCGGCTGTAGAGCGAAAGATGAAAAAAGAAGAAGGTGATATGTACTGTGTTGAACTAAATAATATTTCCTAAAGAAAATCTCATGTATTTTTGAATTCGAATTCAGCAATACAACTTGAAATGCAATTACTTACTTTAAAAATACAATGAAAATCTAAAAACGCCCTTTAATGATGGAATAGTTTTTTAGACATTACTGCAAATTTAAGCTTTTAATTTGCATTTAAAACTACGTTTTGGATATTTCGAGTTTTTAAATTAATAAAATAATAGCAATAATTTGTCAACAAGCAATAAGTCTAGATTATAGATCATTATTCTGTCACTTACTTCAGAGCTTAAAATCCAGCTGTTGAAGAAACTGAAGATGCCTGTCAGTTACCACAAACACAAAACTTTAAACACGAATGATGCCAATTTCTTGATACGTAAAGTTTTAAACTTTACTGGGAAAAAAGTAATGGTTTGTAAGAAATAATAAAAAAGTTACAAAGCCGCGTGCATTCTAATGAAATAAATAATAGACGAAATTGCATTTTGTAAAGAAATCTTTAATTTTAATTCGAAATGTTATCACGATCTACAGAGACCACGGCCACATCTCTTGGAAATAAATTGCCATCAATTTCATTTTGCCATTTTGCGTCGATTCTCTGTAAATATCCGTATCACTTTTGAAACTGTTGCCACCAAATGTTATCGTCTTGTGTTATATTTGAAAAAATTAAATAATGAAGAATCTGCGTACATGTACGAATGTTTCTCGCATTGTGATACGACGATACCTAGAGCCATCAAATTTTGAATCACATAATCCTCCTCCGAATATGGGCATCTGGAAGCCCAAATTTGGAATTTGGAATTTGTTTTATTATCGATTTCATATTTTTTAAAACTTTAACGAAACAAACTCAAGGATTTCAAAGCGAGCGATGGCAACGTTGTACAGAAAAAACATTTTTATCTCCAGCGCGTGAGTCTCTGCATCGGAAATTCTAAAGATATGATCATTTTAAAAATTATTTTGCGATATTGCTGTTGAACTGAATTTTATGGTTTAAGGGAGAAGAACATGATATTTAATAAATAAAGGTGGGCTGTAGTGTAGAATTGGATACTCCCTTAGATAGCGACAAATTTTGCTCAACTTTGGCGATAAAACCCTATTTCTGGTTACCATGATAGTTTTTAACTTTGTTTTAGCTTCCTAATTTTTTAAATGAAGGTAGATCGATGTGTACATGGACATCGAGTTTATCCGATTATCTGACTTCTTATTTTCGTTTTGTGTAGCGGCCATCTTTAATTTGTTCCTTCCTGACACCAAAAAAGAACCGCCAAAAAACAAGGGGCTTCCAATTGTAAACTTTTAACTGAAGGTGTAACACAGAAAGCGTTTAAAAAACGCCCCTTAGGGCGTAACGTAAAATCTGAAAGCTTTCATATTTGTGTTTTATTTTTATTAGCCTTTTTACTTTTTTGTACGAAATAAAGGAAGTATTGTAATCACGAAAATTTCTAGGTACCATATTTCAACGAAAATATCCATTTTGATCTCTATCGAATGCAATTTAACGATGTTTTTGAGTGAAATCTGTACGTAAGGACAGAAAAGAACTCTTTTCCCCAAAAGAAATTAAAAAAATTGATTTAAAATGGATTCGCAAGAGATTTTTGTCGTAACGTCTGTACCTACGCGTACGCGTGTATGTATGTATGTATCTCGCCTAACTCAAAAACGAGTAGCCTCAGAGCGTTGAAATTTTGTATACAGAGCAGCTAGAAAATGTAGCTGTGCACCTCCCTTTTTGTGCCAAACCGCCGCACCAAAAGTAAATCAATATGTATGTACACATATACCCACTCTTATTCGGATCCCTGAGTTCAGTTTTTTTAATTCTTATACTTTGGTAAATTGCGCATTTTTTGTTTAAAAATGATTGAATTATGTTGTTAATATTATCCTGTTAAGGTTTTTATGCCTTTAGTTAACCTGCATGCAATATTTGTAGAATTATCAACAATTTAAAAAATGTTTAAGTGCGGCTAAGCCTAATTTTTTTACCACAGCAGCCATATTTGTGTACATTTGAACTCAGCAGAATAGTGGATTTGTTGCCAATCTAAAGAATCTAAGCTATGCAACAACAACTGTTTTTTTATGTCTAATTTCTTTTATGCACCGTTTTAGATTTATTATAGTATTTGAATAGAACATGTGGCAATGATTAGATAATTCTTCAGATGATATAATTTTCGTGCATTATAAGTTATATAAAAAGGAATGAGATGTAACTCTGTTAAGTGTAGCTACCGCCAGAGTGTCGCAATGATAAATAAATATAGAGAATTTTAGAGAGTCCATTTATTCTGTTGTGGTTTATGCGCTATCGACGAAGTAGATTTGATTCAATTCAACAAGTTTAAATAAAATGCATCAAAAATGCGTATAATTTTAATATCCCGTATAAGGAAGTCATGTGGTGTACACATCAGTTTTTTAAAAGTATGAAGTTTCGGTACCAGCTGAATAACTGAATTTAAGGTTTTAAAATAGAAGATCAGTGATCGAAAACCAGAACATTCTAAAGTGCACATTTTTTAATATATATCGAGTTAATAATTAAAGTTTGAGATAACTAGCAGATTTAAAAATTCATTTGCGAGGTGTATTTATGTTAATAAACCAGTTATTTTCGCTACAGCCGAAAAACGCGGACGGAAACTTCTCGGAGAAAACAACGCAAGGCAAAAACGTCGTGGTACAAAACATCGTAGGAGAAAAGAAAGCAAAAATAAAACATCGCAGTTCTAAAACATCGTTGTATAAAATATCGTGGTCTAAAACAATGCGTTTAAAAACTTCGTAGTTTAAAACATCGTCGTCGAAAATATCGTGATAAAAAACAAAAGTGCCTACAAATCATCGCAAGACGATAACATCGCACACATGCATTTTTCAGGTTTTAAAAGCTGTATATGCATATTCGCATAATGATTTGGGAACGCAAGAAGGAAAGAGGGATATTTTTATTCTATATTTCATATTTTTGAATGAACGAGTAAATTTTTGTTGAAAAAGTAAGAAGGAAACTTAAGTATTTAAAAATTGAAAATGAGAAGATAATTAATGCAAACTTAATAGAATTTTTATTTACGTAGTTAACTAACAAAGGTCATTAATAAATTCATCTTTTTTATAAAGTTTTACTGATACTTTTTCATGAAAAATATAGTCTAAAAATGTTTAGAAAAAGGAAGATAAGCATGAGGTTGCCTCTAGAAAAATTGCTTAGTTAATGATCAAATTATTTTTTTTTCACGTTTGTTAATCTGATATTTAGTGTAAAATTATACCTTGTTTTGTTTCCGTTTATTCTTAAAGTGTCTTTGACGTTTTCATGTATAGCGCGTAATCGATTATTTGGATGTGGATTTGTTTGTTATGACGAAAGTCAGTTACATAATATGACAGTGTGGGATTTGAATTTATTGAATTATGCCAAAATTCATTAGGGCTATCTGCTTAAGAAGAGGAATGCCTTTGTAGGGTACTTTCTCAGGAACTGGCACGTATTGACGTTATACATTAGCAAAACCACGAAAATCTCATGCAAACAGCTCGTTCGCCTGCTCGAAATACCAGTGATCAGCGAATTTACCGCTTGGGCACTGTGGCCACTTCAGCAGGGGAATATTAACGGAAAATAGTTCGTTTTTATACATCATTTTAATTGAAAGACTCAAATTTGAAAGTATAATTTTAAGAGCAATCTTTTTTTTTCTAAAGATAATATGTACTATTTGCAGTGAATGCTTCTCAGAAATACTGACATCTGCAGAAGTTCTTGTCGATATGTCAGCTGTAAAACAAACAAATACAATTAAGTTAAGAAATACGATTTCTGTTTGTCTAAGGGCTAAGTACATGGTATGGAACATCCTCTGTAACATGGATGTTACTTCCTATCTCCATGCTCTGTAATGATAGAAATTTTTAGCTCTCTTTTATTAACCAAATAGTTTTCAGGTCACAGATGGACAGAACCCCTGAGTGGAATCCGCCTGAGTTCAGCCGCTAAGTACAGCTGTGACCTTCGAGAATTTAAAATTCAGGATGTTCTCCAGCTGGCCGAGGTACTGCATGTAAACTGTCCTAAGAAGATATTTTAAACTTTTCATGTGGCAAAGACGAAGGGTCTCTACAGATAAATAAAAAAAGAAATAGCGCCTTCTAATTTTAACAATGTAAGATTTAGGGTAACACTGCCGGCGAAGAAACTTGTTTTTCAACTCAGTACTCAGAATTAAAAGCTGCAAGCATTAGTTTTCCGAAAATTTCCTGTTTGCTTTCCTCTTTCTCACATATTCTGACTTCTTTTTCGAAACAAATTTGCTGCTATAGATGAAAAAAAAAAAAAAACTTCCATCTTATGAATAAAATAATTGAATTTTAAATGTGAAACTAAATCGTTAAAGAGAACCGTTGTAATAAACTCACGAATCAATATTCTGCAAATTTTAAATGCAGTGACATACAGCATTTAATTCTCTCCCTTAAACAATTTATTAGCTCTAATTTGCATAGAAGAGCTATTAATTTCGTTTTGGTATTTTGCGTTGGCTCATTATGAAAGTCTGAATCACTTTTCAAATTGTTGCCACCAAATGTTAAATTTAAAATTCTATTAAGTACTTGCTATAAGTTGCATTAATTTTCTTCTCATTTTCAATTTTTATATAATGAAGTTTCCTTTTTACTTTTAAAAAAATCTGATGTGTACACCACATGACTTCCTTGTACGGAATATTAAATTACAAGCATTTTTTCTTGCATTTTATTTACACTTATTAGATTGAATTAAACCTACTTCGCCGACAGCGCATAAACCACAATAGAATAAATGAATTCTTTAAAATTCACTTTGTTTACCATAGCGACACTCTGGCGCTAGGTTTACTTAACAGTGTTACATTTCGTTCATATTATAACTCTGAATGCACAAAATTGATATCATTTAAAGAATTATCTAATCGTTGCCACATGTTCTATTCAAATACTATAATAAAGCTAGAACGATGTATAAAAGAAATTAAACAAACAAAACAAAAAAGGAACAGTTTTTTACAGACGATTGAATATTTCTCATTCAATTAATTCAGTTCTTACTTCGCGACAAGGCAAAAATACATAAAAACTCAAAATATCTGTATTAAAAATTACGAAGTAAATCTTAAATACTTATTTCCTCGAAAAAATTACAGAAAGGATTAAGCATGATTTAATTGGCAATAATAAATGAAGGCGTTATTTTTGTGTTGCGAAGCTTAGTGTCTCTAGATTGGTAACAAATCCACTAGTCTCCTGTTTCAAATGTAAACATCAATGGCCGCCATCAAATTAAGCTTAGCGGCACTTAAACAATTTTAAAATTGTTG